TTTTTAACTCCTTGGTTGTCAGACTTCTATACAGTTCAATTTTCTGTCAGTCCTGGTTGTTTTTTGTTTTTAAATTGTTGTTCTTCTTTTGGTTGTGCGAGGAGGCACAGTGTGTCTACCTACTCCTCCATCTTGGCTGGAAGTCTTCTTGTTTTATTCTTTTTGGCTGTGAGACTCTGAAAAAGTTGTATCTCTGTGCCTCAGTTACCTTAACTGTAAGCTGGACATAATAATAGTACCTAGCTCATTGAAATGTTGTAAAGACTAAATGAGTATATATGTGAAGCATTTATAACACATGCCTGGTATATATTAAGTGCTGCTATTATTATTATTTCAAGATTAGACAGAGTGCTCAATATATAATACATCATTTGATATGGTTTAAAAAAAGAATAGAAACCAAAGCAGTGGTCAGGCAATAAGGAAATAAGTTAAGGAAGTGGTTGCTAGAACTAGAGTATAAAGCCAGTTCCAAAAGGCAGAGGGAGGTCCAACCTCTTGAGCTGATTTATAGGGTAACTTCTAGCCCTAGAATCAAGTTATAAACCCACAGCCACCAGCCAGACTTATCCCAGACAATGGAAGAGGAAGCAACATAACAGACTGCCAATTAAATAGAAGGGTTAAATAACCCCCACTATGGGGAAACATTAAGAAGCAGTGAGCCAGGCAAGATAGTGAGTAACCAACAAAGCATTTTATTTCAATATAGTTGCACTACTTTAAAAGATCCAGCCATATCACTAAGCTGAAATCATGAACTATTTCTAAGTGCATTTCTTTAAAACAGAGAATGGAAAATTCAGTTTAATCAGGAAATGTTACAAATTAATTTTCCTTCTGGATTTTGCTCCATTCTGAGAGATTTTTTTTTCCATTCTGCTTTAACACCCAAAAAAAGCACTGTGTGCTTTTTTCTTTTTTTCAAGATGACAGTATAATTTACATACAGTATATGCCCTTTTTAGTGTACAGTTCCATCAGTTTAGACAAACCCACCGCTATGTAACCACCACCACAATCAAGATAAAAAACATGTGCATCACCCCCGAAAGCCCTTTATGCCCCTTTGTAGTCAAATCCTCCCCCCATCTCCAGCCCCTGACAACCACTGATCTTTTGTCTAATACCATTTTACTCGTTCCAAAATGTCAGATAAGTGGAATCATATAATATGCAGCCCTTTGAGCCTGTCTTCTCACTTAGCATATGTATCTGACTTCCCTCCCTGTTGCATGCATTGATAGTCCGTGTTTCTTCTCTGTTTCCCAGATAGGGCTCCATTGGCGGATGGAGCACCAAGGTTTGTTTATCCTGTCACCACCTGAGGGACACTGAAGGTGTTTCAAGTTTTGGGCGACTAGGGACAAATCCTCTTAAACACTCACAAATAGGTTTTTGTGTGAGTGTTTTTGGGCCCAATAACAGTTTTCATGGGTGACTTCCAGCCAAGATGGAGGCATAGGTGAAAATGCTGTACCTCCTTGCATGACCAAGTTTAAAGACAACAAAGATTTAGTAACAATATGCAACCAAAACAGACAGAAAACTGAACTGTACGGAAGTCCAACAACGAACCATGCAGCCAGATGGGTAAGAGAGGCGGAGTCAGTGGCTGGCGGAGTGGGGCCCCACAGGAAAACTCAGCCAGACTGACCCAGGCAAGCAGGCAGTGGTTGGCAGATCCCAGGCGTGGGGTGGCAACCGGTGGACCCAGTGAGGGTGCAGGGCAACTGGCTGATCGCGATCACATATTCGCATGCAGATGAGCCAGGTGAAGGAGTGATCAGTGAGATAGACCGTGCAATCCAGGGCCCCAGCACCGGGAAATAAAGCCTAAATAAAGCTTAAAAGCACCGGCTGGAAAAACTTTCGGGGGTTGAGGTGCTGGGAGAGGCCCAACAAACACCATTGCTCCCTCTCTGACCCCGCCCCCACATTCAGCATCACAACTCAGTGACCTAGGTTGCTCTGCCCTGGTGAACACCTAAGGCTCTGCACCTTATACATAACAGGTGCAAACAGACCAAAACATTATGGCTCAAGAAGAAGAATAGCTCAAAACCCCAGAGCCAATACTTCTAAGTGACTAAGATGCACAGTTCAAAACACTGGTGATCAGGATGCTCACAGAACTGGTTGATTTTAGTCACAAATTAGATGAAAAATGAAGGCTATACTAAGTGAAATGAAGCAACATGCACAGGGAAACAATAGTGATGGGAAGAAAGCTGGGACTCAAATCAGTGGAGTGGACCAGAAGAAAGAAAGAAACATCCAACGAGAAAAGAATGAAGAAAAAAAATTCGAAACAATGAGGAGAGGCTTAGGAACATCCTGGACATCTTTAAAGATTCCAACATCCAAATCATAGGGGTACCAGAAGGGGAAGAGGAAGAGCAACAAGTGGAAAACTTATTTGAACAAAAAATAAAGGAGAACTTCCCCAATCTGGCAAAGGTAATAGACTTCCAGGAAGTCCAGGAAGCTCAGAGAATCCCAAAGAAGTTGGACCCAAAAAGGAACACACCAAGGAACATCATAACTACATTAGCCAAGATTAAAATGAAGGAGAGAATCCTAGAAGCAGCAAGAGATCAGGGGACAGTCACCTACAAAGGAGCTCCCATCAGACTGTCAGCTGATTTCTCAAAAGAGACCTTACAGGCAAGAAGGGGCTGGAAAGAAGTATTTGGAGTCATGAAATCCGAAGATCTACATCCAAGATTGCTCTATCCAGCAAAGCTTTCATTTAGAATGGAAGGGCAGATAAGGTGCTTCTCAGATAAGGTCAAGTTAAAGGAGTTCATCATCACCAAGCCCTTATTATATGAAATGTTAAAGGGATTTATCTAAGAAAAAGAAGATAAAAAATATGAACAGTAAAATGACAGCAAACTCACAATTACTAACAACCAAACCTAAAACGAAAAGAAAACAAACTAAGCAAACAACTAGAACAGGAACAGAACCATAGAAATGGAGATCACATGGAGGGTTAGCAACAGGGGAGTGGGAGGGGGAAAGAGGAGGAGAAGGTACAGAGAATAAGTAGCATAGATGGTAGGTAGAAAATAGAAAGGGGGGGGCAAGATAGTATGGGAAATGTAGAAGCTAAAGAACGTGTGATACATGGACATGAACTAAAGGGGGGGGATGGTGGGGAAGAAGTGTACAGGGTGGAGAGGAATGAAGGGGGGAAATGGGAAAACTGTAATGGCATAACCAATAAAATATATTAAAAAAAGAAAAAATAACAAAGTTTTCATGGGTAAATACATAAAAGTGCAGTTGCTGGGTCATAAAATAGGTTTATATTTAACTTTATTAAAGAAAAAACTGCCAGTTTCCCAAAATGGCTATAACATTTTACATTCTCACCAGCCATGTTTGATTGATTGTTGAACAATTCTTATAGAACACAGTCCAAAGGATGGATCCTCATTTTCTATGGAGCAAAAAACAACCCATTTTTCATTTATTCCATATCTTCCTTTTGGCCATTAAAGGACCTTCCTTCTTCCCATCCACGCATCACAGCTATTCCACGTGCGTTCCTGGGTGTGGTCAGACCCAGGCCGCTGACCCTTCACCATGCCTGGTGCTTCCCTACATACTGGTTTTGTTTATGCTATTTGCCACCTGGGATGTTCACCTTTCACTCGTCAAATCTTATGTAAACCCCACTATTGTAATCTTTTCATTCTTCAAGACTTTCATCTGCTATACAAAAAAAAAGACAATTCAGTGAAAGGTGTTGACAGAGGAGGCCCGTTGACAGAGGAGGCCCATAGAACAGGCTGGCGCAAGCCCCTTGCTTTCTTTACATCCAACCCAGATTCCCACGTGCCACATGGCAGGAGAAAGCTAAGGAGGAGTCCAGTGCTCCTCTTAGAGCAAGCAAAAGCTCTACCAGAGCAGGTCTCTTTTTCCTTACTTTTAAAAAGACAAATTCTCCCCAAATAACAACTGACTACATGGGGTAAAGTGAACTCGCATTATTTTGGGTTTTCTGGGGGATGAAAGCTTTTCCACTTATGCTGCTTTGGATCAGTTCTTGGTGCAACTTAAGACTTCTCCTAGCCTCCAAGTTGTTGTTGTTGTTGTTGTTTTTTCATTTAAATGTGTCCACATGCAATTGTGGTTTTGGCAGAGAAGTTCAATATAAAGCAAATTCTTTCGTAACACAGCAAACATGCACTTCCCATAAAGCGATACTGTAAATGGGGTGGGTGCTTTTTTCTTCCCTAAATTGCTTGTAGTCTGCTTAGATACAGGGAGGCATCGCCCCCAAGGCCCCCAAAATACTGAAGGCAGCGCCACATGCAACGTGTCTGCTTTCATTCCATTTCTGGAGGAGCTGATGCAATTTCAAGGCCTAGACAGGGCCAAGGATCCGGTCTTGCTGTACAGTTTAAGAACGTTCCAGAGTGGCTGCTTCTGGCAGCCTCTAGGAATCCTAGAAATCTTGCTGCCAGCAGTTCAGGAATAATGAGCTTGCAGCCACTAGCTCTAAGTGGCACTCTCTGAATGAGTCCTGCAAGTCAGTGGGGAGCGATCGCACCTCTCAGGCACCCGGGAGGACCCGGCTGACTTGATCGTACTCTCCTGCAGCAGATGGCTTCAGTCCTGTGCATTGGCTCCAGTTCGTAGCTAGGGGTCTCACGATGGAAACAAAAAAGAAAGGAAGCCCACTCTATCCCCTTGCCAAGTGACCGATCCCGTCCACCAATTCCAGCCAGACCTTAGATGTTCAAAAGACGCATCCTTGGCCCCTTCCCCATAGAAGACAATGGCACGCTTGCCAAGCCCCATCTGGGACCCTTCCCAGGCTATCTTCTGCGGTCTCCCAGTTTTAAAAACGTTGTCTTGACTTTTAGCTGTCTAAGCATCCACTGCTGCTCACCCCCAGCCTTGCCTCCCGGAGCTCCAGCCCAGGGGTCTGGTAACTAACTACCCGGGGTGAGAGCTGGGACCCTAGCCAGAGCGGGACTCACCCGGCTGGTGGAGAAACGCCGGAGCGCCTGGCTGCCCCGCAGCAACATTCTGGAAAGGAACACTCGGGAGGGTGGCGTGGCGGCGAGGAGGCTTGGGAGGCAGGCCAACGGCTCAGCCTGGTCGCGGCCTGCAGCTTCCGAGCCCCGGGTGGTCGCGCTTGCCGTGGACTGTCCAGGCAAGCTGCGGGCCCCGCCCTCCCCAGCTGGCAGGGCTCGGCGGCCAATCTGGTGCGACTGGGCGGGGCGTGCACCAGCTGCCGGGAGCTGCTGGGACTCAGACCAGTTGCCACACTGGTGCCCAGAGGTGATGAAAGTTGGGTGGGGGTGGGGGTAGAGTAGTGTTCCAGATACTTACTGCCCGTGGGACCTTCTACCAGTTACAAATCTGAGGTACATAGGGATCTGCCTTTGCGGTCAATCTGGCAGTTCAAGTCATGTCTTATAACTCCCTTCTTGAGAAGGCAACAAGCATGCCAGTGTGCATGGAGCTACGAAATTTAAGGGGGCACCGTCACTATCTAGGGATCCTGATATCTACCTCATAGGCTGATTGTAGGATTTAATGAGAGAAATGTGTACAAAGCACTTGGCAAAGGGCCTGGCACAGAGCTGCTTCCCAGAATCCGCAGATAGATAGATAGGTGATAGATGGTAGATATCTTCTTCCTTCACCTTCTGGAAGAAACGTTCAGACATGCTGTAGCTGAGCACTTTCCTCAAACAGTTCCAAGGACTGGCTTGCAAGTCCACGTGCAATCTAGCATTTCTCACTGCTGTTTTGCACTAGCCACAGCACTTGCCAATTCCTTTCTGGATAACACTTCCCAAAAGAGCTTGTCATCTGTCACTTGTCACCAACTCTGCAGGACCAAATTACTTCTCTTCTTAAAGGTTTAAGTCAAATACCGCCTCCCGCTGGAAGTATTTTCTTGATTTTATTCTCCTAATCTCCTCATCCCCTCAAAGTACCGTATTTTGACATGTATAATGTCCACTCTTTTGCCCAAATTTTTAAGGGAAAAATAAGGATGCATCTTATACATGGATAGGACTAATTCCATATCTATATGTGTTTTTAATTGTTTTATTTATGCTTAAGCATCAACAGTGTAACCCTAGAAAGCAATAATGATATCCACATGTAAAATAATACCCTGGAATATGATCATCATTTTTTTCTAAGTGTAAATAAATAATTGAATTAAAATTTTTTTTACCTGAAATTTGGGCCAAAAACATAGGTGTGCATTATACATGACAAAATACAGTAATCTTTTACTCTTCTGAACTGGGAAGGACTTTTGTCTATGTATCTTTAAAGATGTTTCAATCTGTTAGTGGTATTTATGTGCCTGTCATCTTCTCTACCAGAAACTCCTTACAGGCTTATTTATAAGGACTTACAGTATCTATTACTAAGCAGAGCTTAAAAAATACTTGTTAAAAGAGAATAAATGAGTGACTAAATAAGAAGGTAAGAAGGAGAGAAAAAGAATGATCCTTAAAGCTTGGAGAATTGCAGCAAACACCCAGATTTTTGCTTTGGGAACTGCCCCTTCCCAACTCAACCCATTTCCCTGACTGTATTTGGTGATTTATTGCTTTTAAAAGACATCTAAACATTGATATTAATTTTATATGTTCTGATTTGTGTAAACTGGGAGGCATGGGTGAGGAGTGTGGTTTTTCCTGAATGAGGGGTTCCATAGTTCTATACTCCAACTCCTAGCTAGAAAATGAGCTTACGTTCACCCAAATATAATGAACTGTGATGTCTAGGATTTTTGGTTCTGTAAGAACCAAAAGTGTAGTTCTCTTGATAATTGGAGGTTAGACCAGCTACAATTAGAGAATTTCACAAATTAAAAAAAAATCCCTGTCAGTCTATATTTGTATATCCAGAGAAATGACCATGAAATAAAGTCATTTTTAGAAACAAAAGCTTGAGACAATTTGTCATCGGCCGATACATGATAAAGGACATATTCAGAGCATCCTTCAAGCAGAAGGAAAATTATCCACGTGGAAGGCTGCAAAAGCAGGAATGAAGGCAAAAAAGGAGAAGAAGAGGCAAATATGTGAGTAAACATTGGCTATATTAATACTGATAATAATAATAAAATCTTGTGGATACACACATATCTATAGGAAAATACACAAACAACAACAAAAAGTTGTTGAATAAATTTGGGAGGGGGGCGTGGAGGAATGGAAAGGTCATTAGATAGAAAGAAAATAACCCCAGGTGGAATTTCGGTGATAAAGGAAAGAAGAACAATAGAAAGGGTAAATATGAGGGCAAATTTAAGTTAATATTGTCTAAAACAATTATAATAATGTTTTATAGAGTTCAAATATAATTAAAATACATGACAACAATAGATCTGAGTTTTGGGGAGAGCAGGTGGACATAAAGTGTTCTAAGGCCATAGCATTGTCTTAGAAATGAGAGTTACTAACTGGGGTTAGACTTTAATAAATTAAGAATGCACATGAGCCCTGGCTGGTGTAGCTCAGTGGATTGAGCACGGGCCTGTGAACCACACGATCGTGGTTTGATTCCCGGTCAGGGCACATGCCTGGGTTGCAGGCCAGTTCCCAGCAGGGGACTCATGAGAGGCAACCACACATTGATATTTCTCTCCTTCTCTCCTCCCCTTTCCCTCTAAAGTTAAATAAATTTTAAAAATCTTAAAAAAAGAAAATGTTCCTATTTAAAAAAAAGAATGCACATATGCATATCATAATCTCTAGTATAACCACTGAAAGAATAGCAATACCATGTATAACTACCAAGTTAATAGAATGTAAAACTATCAAGATAATAGAATGATTTTAAAAAATCAAAAGAAGGTAAGAAAGAAAAGAAAGGATCATGGATTAGGTGGGGGGGAGAAGGAAATTAGTAAAATTTTAGATTTAAGCTTAAATATACCAGAAATTACAGTAAATATGAAAAAAGACTAAATAATTATATATTTTTTAAATTTGAAGTTCCGTATCCTCATTTTTAACACCTGCCCCACACTCTGTGAAGGGTCATGTGTGTCACTTACTTAACCTATCCTTAGGTTGTTTCCAGTCTCCTTGTTACTGGACAGGCACCAGCCCAGAGTGGGTCTGCTCAGGCTGGCTTGACTTCGTGTGGGAAAGATGTCACAATATACGTCCAGGTGATTTTTGATAGTATGTTTATTAAGGCTGGGGACAGAGAAACAAAGGAAGGACTTAGGGTAGAAGAAGTGACAGGAGAGAGCCTGGGTGGTACGCTGCTTTGGCTCCCTAGAAAATTTATAGCAAAGGAATGAGCCAAGGTAGGGCTGTAGTTAGCTCACCAGGAAGTCAGAGAAAACGGGGTGTGTGGGGGGGGCCCTGGAGAGAGGATCATGGGGCAAGCCTGGGTCATGCTGCTGCTGCCCACTGCTCCTCTATATTCAAGTCTCCTTGGGAACCTTAGAGTTTAGGAGGAAATAAAAGGTTCCTGTCCGAGAAGGGGCATAGGCACAGTCCAGAGTGGGCCTGCATGAGGTCTTTGTTCTGAGGGCTTTTTATCTTTTTCCTGTGGATGAGAATATTAGGGGAGGGTTTCAGCAGAATACTCATCAGCTTTCCAGATGAATTTTTAATATGCTGATGTGTCAAAATGAGTGCATAATGAGGTGTGGGAATATTCTTTGGTATACTATACTGTTTCACTTTTGTCTCGAGTCCGTCTGGCTTTTAATGTGGTGTTTGTTATTTGTTCCTGACCTCATCTGTCCTTGAGCTTAGCTGGCACAAATGACATTAATTGGGTCTCTGTTCTCTATCTTTCAAGGATCTGCTTCCCCCCCACCTTAGATACTGTGGTTCCTATAAAGTTGCATCTCCCCCAACGCCTCACCCTGGCATCCGGGGGTGGAACATATGACCTAGAAAAAGCCAACTGGTGCCTTTCTCCCACTCCCTCAGTTACAATGATTGGTCCAATAGTATGAGCACTGTAAACAAGACCAGCAAGACTTAATTCTGGGACTTCTGCCTGTGGCCCAGGATGGCTATGAATGTGGCCCAACACAAAATTGTAAATTTACTCAAAACCTTTTTTTTTTTTTTTTTTGGCTCATCCGTTTTCATTAGTGTTTGTGTATTTAATGTGTGGCCCAAGACAACTCTTCTTCTTCCAGTGTGGCCCAGAGACGCCAAAATGTTGGACACTCCTGGGCTTAAAGAATGTAGCAAAACCTGTGAAGAGACAGGAAAAAAACAGTGAAAATCCAAGACTTGACATCACTTGAATCCTGAAACTGATTGCATGTGAAGGCCAATGCCGGCACTTGATGTATTAAAAATTTTGGTATATAGTTCTGACTTTTAACAAACGTACAGATTTGTATGAGCAACACCACAGTCGGGACACAGGGCAGTTCCACTCTCCACTCCCCCCTCCCAAATGCATTGCCCTATCCCTTTGTGGTTGTGTCTACCAATCACCCCTGAACCCTGATAACCTCTGAAATGTTCTCCATCTCTGCAGTTTTCTCTCTTCAAGAATTTTAAATAAATGGAATCACACTGTGTGTAACTCTTTTTTTTTAAAAAATATTTTATTTATTTATCTTTAGAGGGGAAGGGAAGGAGAGATGGAGAGAAACATCAATGTATGGTTGCCTTTTTGTGCATCCCCTGCTGGGAACTGGCCTGCAGGGAACTGGCCTGCAACCCAGGCATGTGCCCTGACTGGGAATCGAACCGCAACTGTCTGGTTAGCAGGCCCGCGCTCAATCCACTGAGCTACACCAGCCAGGGCTCTGTGTGTAACTCTTTAGACAGATTTTCTTCCTTCAGCATCATGCTCTTAAATTCATGTTAATTTTTAGGGAATCCCAGCAATTTTGAGATTCTTCTGTTATTGATTTCTAATATAATTCCATTGTGGTCTGAGGATATAACATTTCAATTCACTGAGACTTGTTGTACGGTCTAGCAAATGGTCTGTCTTGCTGAGTATTCCTTGTATACTTTAAAAAAGTGTCTATTTTACCGTTTTGGGGTAAAATGTCTTATAAACACTAATTAAGTGGGTTGAGAGTATCATTGAAGTCTATGTTCTATCTACTTGTTAAATACTGAGAGAGGAGTGTTAAAATTTCCAACTATAATTATAATTTTATGTATTTCTTCTTTTATTCTATCGGATTTGGGT